AAGATAAATAAATTTCCTGCAGATGACTGGTTCCTATTATGAAGTAGCAGGAGGCAATGCAGTATAGGACCCTGTATGATTTGAAAAGGACACTTGTTATAAGATTATAATAAATATGGCAGCTCTTGCTAAACTTAACTAAACCCAACCAAAGCATTGACTTAGACCCACCACTCTGAAACCCACTTCACTGGCTGGGCCAGCATTTTTATTGCTCATCCCTTGTAGCCTTGAAAAGATGGTGATTTGGCTTTCTGGAACTGCTGCTGCAGTCCATTAGTGTAGATACGCCTACAGTACTGTTGTGGAGGGAATTCCAATATTTTGACCCAGCAACACTGAAAGGAATGACAATATATTTCCAGTTCAAGATGGTGAGCAACTCCATGTATCTGCTGCCCTAGTCCTTCCAGATGAAATCGGTTGTGGGTTTCGCAAGTGCTGTGTAAGGAGCCATGGAGAGTTGTTGTGGGACACTTGTAGATAATACCAGCTGCTGCCACTGTGTATTGGTATGGAGGGAGTGAAAGTTTCAAGGATGTACTACCAATCAGTGGGCTGCCTCTTGAGTGTTGGTGTAGTTACATTTGTCCCGGCAAGTGAGGAGTATTCTATCGAGGTCCTGAATTGTGCCTTGTAGGCGGTGGACAGGCTTTGGGAAATCAGGAGGTGAGTTACTTCCTGCTGTATTCCTCGCCTGTGACCTGGTACCATATTTATAAGACTATAAGCCATAGGTTTGCTTTGATCCCCTTACTAATTGACAGATTTTTAATCTCGGCCCTGAATATACTTGATGACCCAGTCTTTACCGCCCTCTGCATTCAAAAAAATGCCACCGATTCATTCCCCTCTGAAAGAAAAAGAATTCTTCAACTCTGTCTTAGTGAGCAACCCGTTAAACTTGAGATTATGCCCTCTGGTCATAGACTGTTCCACAAGGGGAAACAACTTCTCCACATAGCTCATCCAGTTTACTTTCTGGTCATTGCCATCAACATCAATGTATTACCAATGGTAATGACATTTGAGTTCGGGAGAGATGGTTAGAATCTCTGGTGGAGATAGCCATTGTCTAGCTCTTATGTGGAATGATACTTGCCACTTTTCAGCCCAATTCTGAAATTAGGTCAGGAGCTCAGTGGCCCTGGAGAAACCTTAACTAAGCATCTGTAAGCAGGTGCTCCTCAATAGCACAGTTAATAACCCTTTCAATCACTTTACTGATGATGTGGAGAGTCAACTACTGGGACGGTAATAGGCCAGTTGAATTTGACCTTTTTTGTATACTGAACAAACCTAAGCAATTTACCACATTGTTTGTTTGGTAGATATCTGTACTGTAGCTGTACTGGAGCAGCTTGACTAGGGGTCCAGCAAGTTTTGGAATGTAAGTCTTCAGTACAAATACCAGATTATTGTCAGGGCCCATAGCCTTTCAGTATCCAGTGTCTTTAACCATTTCTTGATATCGTCGGATGTGAATTGAATTAGTTGAAAACTGGCCTCTATGATACTTGGTGCCTCAGGAGGAGGTAGTCCACTTGGCACAACTGGCTGGAGGTTGTTTCAAATGCTTCAGTGTTTTCTTTTTGCACTGATATACTGGGCTCTTGTATCATTGAGAATTGGGCTGTTTGTGGAGCCTCCTGCCCCAGTGATTGTTGAATTGTCTACTATTCATAATTGGCTGTGGCAAGACTGCAGACTTCAGTTCTGACCAGTTGGTTGTCAAATTGTCTAGCCCTGTCTATCACTTGCTGCATATGCTGATTAATACACAAGTAACCCTGTTTTGTAGCTTACTAGATTGATACCTCATTTTCAGGTATGACTTCCTGCACCCTGTTTTACCAGGGTTACCTCCTGGCTGTGTTTAAACTAGGCCATGAGGTTCCAGATTTGTGGTTGAATCCAGTTCTGTTGCTGTAGTTGGCATACAGCACCCCGAGATGTCCAGACTTGAGTTAGTAGATCTCTTTGAAATCAATCACATTTAAGGTGCTGGTAGAGCCACACAACATTATGAAGCGTGTACTGTTTGTGAAGAAGGAACTTTATCTCCACAAGGACTTTATGGTCAATACTGTCATGGGCCGATGCCTCTGTGGCAAACGCGCTTGTGACGTAGAAATAATGTGGACTTTTTTTCCTGTTGTTACAGCCATGATCACACTGAATTGTGGAGCGGGCTCAAAGAGACATGTGGTGTACTCTGCTTCCAGTTTCTTTGTTAGTTCCCTCACCATCTGCCACAGATCCAGTTTAGCAGTGGTATCCTTTAGGGCTTAGTAATCATGTTGCTGAGCCACTCTTGGTTATGGACATTGATGACCTCATCCAGATTACATTCTGCGGACCTTTCCCTCCTCTGTTCTTTCTGCAAAGGCATTCAATATGGAGGAGTATGGATTCATTGGTGGTTGGAGGAGGTGCTCAGTGGTGATGAGGCGATTTCTTTGCCCATGTTTGACTTAATGCCATAAGGCAGCATGGCTTCTGGAACCAGTGTTCAGTACATGAAGGACAACTGCTTCCTAATTGTATTTCACTTTGTTGCCACCTCTGTTGCTTTTTATTTTGCCGGCAAGGCAAGACCCACGCATACACAATTCTCCTGCTATCTATAAGGTATGATTCAGTGACTATGACTACTCCGTGAGACAGGTTTGCCAGCTAGTTTTGTATCTAGAAGCCATATATTGGTAAGGAGGACTTTTCAGGGTTGACAGGGCTAAGTGTGCTTTTGTTTGGGTGCCATCATATGTCATTGCTCGATTTGAGACATTTCAGCAGTTTAGTATAATTGAGTTGCCATTTCAGAGTACGTTTAAGAGTGAACCATTTTGCTATGGATCTGGAGTCACATGTAGGCTTATCGAGACAAGGATGGCAGATTTCATTCCACCAGTCTCTCAAGGTAAGCGTGCAAGTGCGGCAGGCATCAAAGAAGGCAAATGGTATGTTGGCCTTCATTGCGAGAAGTATCAAGTACAGGAGCAGGGAAGAGTTGTTGCAGTTATACCGGGCCTTGGTGAGGCCACGCCTAGAATATTGTATGCAGTTTTGATCTTTCTTTCTGAGGAAGGATGCTCTTGCTGTCCATGGAGTGCAATGAAGGTTTACCAGGCTGATTCTGGGGATGGCAAGACTGACATATGAGGAGAAATTGACTTTGTTAGGATTGTTTTTGCTGGAGTTCAAACGAATGAAGGGGGATCTCCTAGAGACTTAAAATTCTACAGGACTAGATAGGGTAGATACGGGGAGGATGTTCCTGATGGTGTGTGTCCTGAACCGGAGGTCTAAGTCTGAGGATTTGCGGTACACCATTTAGGATGGAGATGAGGAGACATTTCTTCACCCAAAGAGTGGTGAGCCTGTGGACCTCATTACCACGGGAAGTAGTTGATGCCAAAACATTGAATGTATTCAAGAGGCGGCTACATATAGCTGTTAGGGTGAATGAGATCAAAGCTTATGGTGAGAAAGCAGGATTAAGCTACTGAGTTGGACGATCAGCCGTGATTGCGAAGAATGGTGCAGCAGGCTAGAAGGTCCGAATGGCCTCCTGCTCCTGCTCCTATCTTCTGTGTTTCTGTGTTTCAATGGTATTGGTAAACCAGATGGCCCTTTACCATTATTAACAATGTTTTCATGGTCATAATTAGATATTTTAGTTCTAGATTGTTTAAAAAAAAATCCTGTTCCATCTTCTGCCATAGATTACTAGTCCAGCAATACCAATACACCGTTGCCTCCTTGTGGCATTAATTCTCTTTATTACAAAGTGAGATTCTTATGTATGATTGTCTCATCAACCGTTGGGACAGAGCATAATGCACAGTATTCCCTCCTTTTGTTGTATTGGCTGGGATACACGCTTTTTAGAGCACTACTATTTTCAGTGAGCATTTTGAAAGTCACTGAACTTTCAGAAATTGCAAGCAGTCTATTTATTTCGATGCACAGTCCATTGTAAATTGCAGCTTGGCATGCACCATGTATCTTAGAGGGAAACCTTTTCCTTCTCACCATTCTTCTTACCCTCAAATGTGCCTTGTGCCATCCACCTCCACCTCTCACTGGCTCCAACGTGCCTTTCTTTTAATGATCACCTCTCACAGGTCTCATTAATTCATTGCCTACCTTCTGTCTCCAATGAACTGAGGTCTTGTCAGACTCTTCATTCCTCACCTTTCTCCCTGCCTGTTCCATGTGTCAAGACACACTTTCCAATCTATCTCACTCGAACCTCCTGTTCCTTCAATCACTGGTTTTTGTTCTTAATATAGGCCAATATCTAACACGTCAACACTGCCCAACTTTGCTGGTGTGAGCAAAATGTCTACTTCAGAGTGCGAAGTATTCCAAATAGTTGAGTGTACAGTTTATAGGGAGCGTTGAAAACGGTCTTGGGGCCAGATGCGTCATTAATGACTGACTGCTCATTCCGAAGTGAAATGGTGTTTATGCTAGCCTACTCCTTCAGAGTTCATCTGTTGTTTGGTTTATAAAACGCACATTGGAATTTGGTGACCAAATTCCACTCTGGACTACTATTCTTAGATTGCTTTGCATCCATAACAAACTGATTTGTGCAAAATACAGAAGAATTTTGAGAGAAGATGAATTGAACTGAAAGCAGAAGCTTACATTGCAAAACTGGGTAACAAGCATTAATGTTGCATCACGTTACCTTGGTAAACTGTACACTGATACTTCTAATAATATATGAAAAAGGCCCATATACAAAATGATTATACAGATGTATAATCTTTTGGGGTCCTTAAAGGGGATTGAATAACTGGTATATGGGGACAATACTTAAATACAATGCCCACAATATATTGATGGTGTATTTAAATGAGCAGTGCTCTTGTAACAGATTTTGGTGCGAATGAAATGATTGCTTATTGTGTTGATACAAAATAAACCTTTTGGCTCATGTTTCACAGCAACAATCCTCTTTAAGAACTGTTTTTCTTTTCCTTTTTCAGCTGTCTAGTTGTTACTGTGCTCCAGGTCAGTACCCCCATTCTAATCAACAGTATCGACCTGTAGCCCCTATCCATTACAACACTCAGCAGAACCAGCCATTGTCACAAACTGCCCAGCAAACAGGTTGGTTTCTGTTTGTGCTCATTTTCTTTCTTGTTTTCAAATCTGTTTTTGAATCTAATCACTTACATTTTTCATTTAATTGATCATCTTGAAGTCCTTGGAAATGTCTCCTGAGAACAGAGGAAGTTAAAGAATTATGCTGTTGGTCACATTTATTATTGTCCAAAAAGAAACAAAATTAAACCATTTTGTGAAAATCAGAGGTGCTGAATGATTTTCTTTGAACTTGTCAACTTGTTGGTCTCCACTCTGGCATATGTTTGAAGGATGTTGAATATGAATTTATCATCAGTATTTCCACGAGCTGTTGAATACGAGGCCGGAGCACTGTCTGAGAGTGCTAGATTTCTCACAGTGAACCGGTCTCTTTTTCAGCTGCTTCATAAACCACGGGGGAAATGTCCAGTTTGATGGTTTACAAAATCAAAATGAAATATGATGAAACAGATCTTGGAACCTGTATTTTTTTGTAAATGCCTGAATAGCATGTTGCTTAACTGAAATTCAGTGAATCTGAAGATTAATATAATTTGATTTTTAAAAAAAAAAGGGGGGATTGTACTCTGATTTGGTTTGTTGTGAAACGTAAGAAATTAAGTGTATTTTCTGCTTAAAGTAGGATTGTAGAAAATTTCTTTAACTCCTACTGAATTGTCTTTGGTACCAAATACTCCTGTTATTTCTCCATTTTGGTGATGGGAAATGAATAAAAACATCTAAAAATGGAATGATGCTTGTAATCCTGAGGAAAGGTTCTGAACCATCCATTTACCCTGCCCTGCTTTGCTCTCTTCAGGGGATGTTGATGGTGATTTGCTGTGCAGTGTTGAAATAATTGAAAAATGTACATGGTCGTGCTGCAGTCTCTTGCCACCTTTAGTGTGAACTTTATCTGGTTGTCATGGAGAGCATCTTCCATGAAATTTGGCCATTGAGCATTTTACTTAAAATATGACATTGTTTTTGGGTGTTCCTGCTTAGTAGAGAATACAGTACACTTTGTCTAATACACTCTTCTCGCACAGTGGTAGTATCCCTGCCTCTGTCTCAGGAGACCCATGTTCAAGTCCCACCTGCTCCAGAGATGTGTAATAACATTTCTGAGCAGGTCGATTGGAAAATAATGCTGTTTTCTAATGCCTGTTAGTTTAACATTTTACTGAATGGTTGAAAAGTCTCAAGTTGTGATGGGATTTTTAAACATTTAATTCATTTAAATGCAGAAATAATTTATTAGGTATTTTGTATCCTCTAACATAGTTTGTAAATTTGGTCACTTTTTAAAATTTATACTTTGGGTTTGTAAGCTGATGTTGAATTATCACCTTGAATAGCGATAACTTATTTACTTTTGTAGGATACGAACGATATATTTTCTAACTCATCAGAATTCTGATTATATTCAACCTGTTCAGTCATGTTTTGACATCTCTGAAGCAGGTGGGACTTGAACTTGAGCTTTCTGAACCAGCAGTAGACAGAGTACCACTGCACCACAAGAGCTCTCCTCATAACTCAGCTCTTGGTTACTTTAAACAACCTGTTCAAACATGAGATGACACACCTCTGGCACAGGTGAAACTTGAACCAGGACTTTCTGGGTGAGAGGCAGGGACACTTCCACTGTGCCACAAGAGCCCTAAAACAGTGTTTTTTTGTGGTGGACCTACCGTTGAATCCTCCAACTAATGAACTGAGCAAATGAACACTGCTGGTGGCAAAACCCAGCCCTCTCTTCAAATTTCTCAACACCATGTTCCGAAATGTTATTACACTTTTTGGAGCAAGTGGAACTTGAACCCAGGCATCCTGACTCAGATAGGGATACTACCACTGCTCCACAAGAGCCAGCAGCTTTTAAAATAAATTGCTTTCATGCACAACTGAACACTTTTTTTTCTACTAGAAACTTTTCTATTTTTATATCCAGAAGTGTTATTACGTACAACTGGCGCTTTTTCCACAACTAAATCACCAGTGATATTTGTTAACTTATCTACCAGTGTCCATGTTTCCAAGCAATCAATTTAGATGCAAAGCCTGGTAAGGTCAATGCAATACCATCAACAATGGAAAAGGCAAAGTGAAAAGAAGGCGATTAATCCATAACTGAGTTAGATGAGGCAATAAGGTACTCTACCCCTGTGGTCCCCATTTTCTAAAGACCTCAAGAATATTGGTGGAAACTGCATGCTGCCTCTTCAAGGACACAAAACCAGTTATTTGTATTTTTCGATATCTATCTCCTAATAGCCCTGTTCAGAGATGTCATTACTCATGTCTAGAGCTGCTGTGACTTGAACCTGGGTCTCTCGGCACCACAAGAACCCCAAGACTACAAATTCCATTGAGCATCACCTACACTGAATCAACTGTGGAGATGTTTGGCTCACCATTAGGGGTGGTAATGTCACTTAACAAGTAATCCAGAACTCAGATTCAAGTTTTATAGGGCTAATTGTGGTGGAGTGGTAATGTCCCTACTTCTGAGCTAGGACACCTAGTTCAACTCCCATTTACTCCAGAGATGTGTGATAATATCTTTTAAACTGGTTGATTTGAAAATATCGTCTGGTTTACCTGTAAATGAATCTGCAGTTCTTACACATGACATAAAACATTGAAGATTATTTCTCTAATCTCTTTGCACCATCTGTGCTGTCAATCTGCTTGTCTAATGCAGACCTGGATGCATCACAATTGTGAGCAAGGCATAAGAGAAGCAAAATTAGCAAGAATTAGATGAAATATTAGTGCAGGTGACTTAACACACATTGAAAGAAGATACAATTCTGCTTTGTTAAGTAAAATCCTACTAAAATCCACAAGATTGAATAAAATTATAAATAGTAAGAATTGTTATTTTTACTAAAATGGCATATTTCTTCTGCACCTGCTCTTTAAAATGAAAGTGGCCAGATTATTTTGAATAAAGTGTGATCTGGATGCTTTTCTTTTAAATAAGACAATGTGATTTGAGAAAGAAATGTAATTTGAAGGTACCACATGATGTAATGCAGAATTAAATAAAAAGATCCATCATTTTGAAAATTTTCATATTATCAAATAGAATTTGAACTCCACAGGATTTTCTTGTAATGGCATTTTATCAATGCTTATGTTCCAAGGCATTATAAGTCCTTCATATTGTTTGGGCCGTGTCCACTTTTTGGTAGAGATCGACTAAATTATAAATTTGTAATTATGTTGTTGCAGGCTTTCAAACAGTGATGTCAAGTCAACAGCAGAGCTACCAGGGCTTGGTTAGTGTTCAGCCTCAAAATCAAAATGTTGTGAGTGGCCAACATAGCAATATGGGCAATCAGATACAAAGCATGATGGTCCAGTATCCTTCAATGCAATCCTATCAGGTATGTCACTTTAAGTGATTTTAACTTATCTTGCTATCCACTTCAAGAAATAGTAAAGTTTGAAGCTAATGATAAATATCAGTTTTTTTTGGTCAAATTACCAAGACATGCCCCTGGCCTCAACCAGTTGTTTTAATGAAGAAGGTTAATATTTGGTTTAAAATAAAATGCAATCAGTTGTGTTACTAACATGTAACTTACTGTATTCCATCCTGGCGGGTCCAATAACATACCCTGATGCAGTTTATTTAGAAATAGCCGGTGCCATAAACTTCTCATCAGTCTGCTAGCTTCCCCAAAGTCACTGCATGCTTGGTAATCACATTATAGGATGGAGAACCTGTGATGCCACTACCTCTGCCTACGTCTGGTGTCTTTCTTAAATTTGGGTTGTTTGGAACAGTTCACAGTCACTTCGCAATTAAGCTGTTTAATACTCCCTGAAATTGAAAAGATTTTAAATATCAATTCTCTTATCAGTATGACACTGGCAGTGCAGCACCCCTAGGTTCCCATAAAAATGTGGTCATGAGCTATTTTCTTTTTTTTTTAAATCCTGCAGTCCGTACACTGAAGGTGTTCCCACAGTGCCAGGAAGTAAAAAGTTCCAGGATTTTGTGTTTGTGACCTTTATATAAATCAGGGTGGTGTGCATTTTCTTGGAGAATGCTCCTAGACATGCCTTAGCAATTTGATGCAAGAACAGTGTCTATTGTGCATGTTACAGTCAGGGCACATTGATCAATGATGAAAGGTATTTGAAACCACGAAATGGAGTGCTAACCAAGCAGACTATTTTGTCTGGAATAGTGTAAACTTCCTCGATGTTGATGGAATCGCAGCAGTCCAAGAAAGGGAATTCAAGAACACTCGGTTTATGATTTGTTGATCGAGAGCCTTAAAGGAATAAGGGATGAGCCTCTTTTGTCAGATTACATTATCTCTGATCTGTTAAAGAAGCCAACATATTATTATGTCTTGATTAGTTAATTTTGTTGTCAGTTGTGATCCTTAAGACTTTGATTTTCTGGTAAATCCAGCAGTGACAATGTTGCTCAATATCAAGAGAGTATGAGTACGCATGCTCTTTATTGTTGGAGAAGTTCATTGCCTGATATGTGGTTTAAAAAAAATTGTACTTGCCACTTCTTGTTCTGATCCTGCATGTTATCCAATAGACTGTTAGCTAACATGTTAAAAAGCTTTAAAAAACTGATTATTAATTGATACTTGAATAATTTTTTTGGTTTTTGGCTTCAACGCTGTCCGAAAAGCTTCAAGTTATCTATCTTCTTATATGTTTAAAATTTAGATATCATTAACTCCAGGCTCTCAAGGAGTGGGTCAACAGTCTTATCATCAGCCAATTCTAATCCCAAGTCATTCAAACCAAGGGCCTTTACCTTCTGCAGGAATGCCAGTCTATTACAGTGTTATCCCACCAACTCAACAAAATAGTATGAGGTCAGTGTCTTTGGTGAAATGTTTTAAGCTGTCCACTTTATTACTTCATGAAATGGTTATTTTTTCTTTTCATTCTGAACTATATCTGACTTTGACATGTTTCAGCAACAGTAGTTCAGTCCTAATCTCAAGAATTTTGAGGAATGTTAAATTCAAGTTTTGGGTGATGAGGAAAATGTTGGAGATGTGTTGAAATTTAATTTCACTTAGCTCTTATACTTGCTCCATTTTTCTTGCTGTTATCATGTTAATAACAACAAACTTTTAGGTCTACTGCATCCCATACTACATAAAGGTTCCAATGAAGTTGCAACACCAGTCTACTTGCATTCCAAACAGTATAAGCATGATGCAATAGACAGCTGAAGCAATCCCACAACCAACAAATCAGATCTCATCTCTGCGGTTTGTCACAGCTAGTTACAATTGGTGGTAGACAATTCAACGACTAACAGAAGGTAAAGGCTCCACAATATTCTCATTCTGAATGATATGGGAGTAAAGTATATTAGTGTAAAGACAAAGCTGAAGTATTGTGGCAGTCTTCAACCAGAAGTGCCAATTGGATTATCCATCTCGGCTTCCTCCACAGGTCCTCCGTATCATAGATGCTAGTCTTCAATCAATTCAGTTAACTGCCTGTGATGTCAAGGAACAGCTGAAGATGCTGGATATTGCAAATGTTGTGAGTGATGACACATTCTTACAATATTACTGAAGACTTGTGCGCCAGAACCTGGTACACTCCTAGCGAAGCTGTGCTAGTACATCTACAACACTTACATCCATCTGACTATGGAAGATTGTCCAGATATGTCCTAAGTTCAGAATGCAGCACAAATTCAACTTGGCCCATTACCACCCATTCACTCTACTTTCGATGATCAGGAAAAAGATGAAACGGATCACGAACAGTGCTACCAAGTGGCAGGTACCAAATATGTTTAAAAATGACCTCTCACTTAGGCCAGGAGCCGCTCAGCTCCCAACCTCATTGCAGCCTTGGTCCAAACATGGACAAAAGTGCTGAACTGCAGAATTGAGATGAGAGACACTGGCCTTGCAGTCAAGGCCACATTCAAGCAACTACAGCATCAAGGATCCCTAGCAAAACTGCTGTCAATGAAAAGTGGGGAAAATCTCTCCATGGTCATGGTTGTTGGTGGTCAGTCACCTCAGCCCCAGGAGGAATTCATTTGAATAGTGCCATATGCCCAATCATCAGCTTCTTCATTGCTCACCTTGTTCAGTGATGATCGCACATGGTTCAGCGCAACAAATTCACTGAAGCAGTCGTCTGTGTACCCATGTGCAGCAATATCTGTACAACACTCAGACTTGGGCTAAGTGGCAAGTAGCATTTGTGCCCCACAGCTGTTCGGCAATAATATTTCCAACAATAGAGAATCTAACCATCACTTCTTGAAACCATCACTTCTTGATGCTTGATGCTTGATGCTCGATGGCATTGTCATTGCTAAATTCCCCGTTTTCAACTTTTTGGAGTTATCATTGACCAAAACCTGGACTGGATCAATCATGTAGCCACAGTATCTACAAGAGCAGTTCAGAATACTACTGCAAGTAACTCAACACTTGGCTCCCCAATGACTGTTTCCCATCTTCAAGGTATAAGTCAAGAGTTTGATGAAATACTGTACTCTTGTTGGAGCTGTACTCATCCAGGCAGCAATCAAGAAAAATGACAATGCAGGACAAAGTAGCTCACATGATTGACCTTCCATCCACCACCTTCATGTTCAGCATTCACTCCCTTCTCTACCATTGCACAGTGATAGTGTGTGCCATCTCTACAAGATATGGTGCAATAACTCACCAAGGCTCCTCCAACTTTTCACTTTTTCAAGATAAGTCTGCTGCCACCTAGAAGGACAAAGGCAACAGATGCCTCTGAGTATCAAAGTCTTCAAGGTCTTATCCAAGCCATCCAAGATCCTGAGGTAGAACTATAAAGCTTGATCCTCCAGTGCCACTGGGTCAAATCCCACAATTCCCTAACAAACAGCTGTGTGGGTGCCCCTACATGCCAAGGACAGCAGTGGTTCAAGACGGCAGCTCATCACAACATTGTCCACAGCAATGTGGAATAAGTACTGACCTAGCCAGTGATGCCCACATCCTATGATTAGATTTTTTTAAAAGAGCAAAACTTTGCCTTCCTTTTCTATTCCATTAGCATACAAACGTGTTATCTTTATGAATTCTTTAGAGTTTTGAGTTCCTGTTGTCGTTGATTGCTTTTAATCAAATTTCACACTACTTTTCCATTGCTGTCTCTGATTATTGCGTGTTGAAATCTCCCATTATAAGTATCCTATTTAGGAACTGAATTGAATGCCCTTCTACTGAATGCACAAAACAGCAAACTAAAGTATTATTGAAGTATTATGATTCCACTGCACTTGTTGTGATTTACTCAGGGTTCATGATGCTTTCTTTCATGTAGGTACAAAAGGTGAAGAACCATTACCTTCCTGTTAGAATCTTAAGTTACCACTGTTTCTTCTTAACACTGGTAAAATGTGAAAAAGGGGAAACCATGTTGTGTTCCAACTTCTGAGGACTTGAATAATGTCTTCTTTTGTCCCTCATGTTTCAACATAGACTGGAAGTTGGCTCTGAGCAAGGTTTTTTGAATTTCTGATCACTTACTGAAAACCTGTGTTGAAATTCCAATTGAAATTCCGACTTAAATCCCACCCCTCGCTTAAACAGCTCTAACTTAGCCTGGAGATGATTTCATTGCAATGATTTCTGACCATTTATACAAGGAGTATGGTTGCTGTCATGCTTTTATTTATATAAAAGTTTAGATTTGTTGTAAAATACCATGTTTTGGGTTTGCCCATTAGTTTCATCAAATTTAAATATGCTGTTAGCAATGAGATCCTGCACATTTTTACTCCTGCCTTGTTTCGATCCTGCATTTTTCACTTTAGACAAGCTGTTTTTCATAATCGTCAGTTCCGAGACATCTGTACCATGTCTTGTTGGCTACAATTATAACTCCAAAGATGCCCTGTGTCTCAGTATTTCATTTCATTTCATTTCTGTTAAAATAGATTGCAACTGATCGAAGTGGAAAACAATTACTCTCGGCATTAAAAGACCTGCAAAGTGTAACAAAGAATAATTAATTTTTATTGATTTGCCCAGAGTGGAGCTCGTACTTCTGATCTAAATCCAGATAGTTTAAACACATAGTAAGCATTGTTTCTCTTTAAAGTTCATCAGTAGGTTATCTGCAGCCTCCAGGAACAGATCAGATGCAGTTCCCTCGGCCATCTTCCCCATGCAATTCTCAACAACTGCAAAGCCAACAGTGTGCAGGTGAGTAAATGAACTTCGTACTCCAGATTATGTTCCTAGATTTAACAAATTAAGTGGAAATTCTATTTTAAAAATTTAAAATTTCCATTTACACCAAATAAAAATGATTGTCTGTCTTGAAATTGAGGTTCTAATCTATGCTAAAATTAGATATTCAAATCTTGAAACCCAAGGACACAACAGAATAAGGAAAATTAACTGGAAAATCTAACATGCTGTCGAATATTTGAAAATTCACCTCTTCCTTACGTTTGTGTGGTGTTTTTAAAATGCATGATACAACTAGTCATTATTTTGTAAAAGCCAATCCATGTTTGACAAATTTATCACAGCTCTCTGAGGATGGAATGAAGGGGAACTGGTAGAGGTGTATGTTTGGATTTTCAAAACATTCATTAAGTTGCCAGATAAAAGATTACCTCACAAGGTAAGAGATCATGAGTGTGGTAGATTATCCCAAAGAGGTAATTGGGAGAAATGGGTCATTTTCAAGTTAGCAAATTTGTGGGATGCCACAGGTATCAGTTCTGGAATCTCAAGTACTTAGAATGTGTATATAAATGACTTGGATGAAAGGATAGATTGTATTGTAGACATCTTTCCTGATGAGATAAAAATAAGTTGGGAAGTAAGTTATGAGGAAAAAACAAAGAGTCTGCAAAGGAATTGATCGGTTAAGTGCCAAAAGTTAGGAAATAAAGTAATTTGAGAAAGTTTGAGGTTGTCCATTTGACAGGAAGAGTAGAAAAGAGTGTTCTTACACTTGAATTACAAAAAGACAAATGATGTGTTGTCCTTTTTATTGCATGCAGCAAAGTCTTGCTGCAGCTCCACAAAACATTGAGACCACATCTGGAGTATTGTGTACAGTTTTGGTCTCCTTGTGTAAGGAAGGAAGGAAATACTTGCATTGGAAGCAGTCCAGAGAATCTTCACCAGACTGATTCCTGCGATGAAAGGTTTGTCTTGCAACGAAAGGTTAAGCAAGCTGGGGATGCACCAACTGGTGTTTAGAAAAATGAGGGATAATCTTTCTGAAATGTATAAGATTCTGGTGTCTTTAATGGAGCAGATGCTGGAAGGATGTTTCTCCTCTCGGTGAAGTCTAGAACTGGAGGGCACAATTTAAAAATTAGAGGTTTCCATTCAAAATTGATATAGAAGGAATTTCTTCATTAAAGCTTTAAAGTCCTTGGAGCTGTTTTCCTCGGTGAGCAGTGGAGACTGTGTCACTGAATACATTCAAAGCTGTGTTAGATTTTTGTGGACAGGGAAATTCAAGACAATGGAACGTAGCCAGGAAGTGGATGTTAAGGCCACAGTTAGATCTGCTGTAATCATATGATAAAACAGGCTGGATGAACCATTTGGCCAGTATTTCTAACGATCTTGCATAATACACATGCCCTCCACTGGCACAAATTTATTCAAATTTATAATGTTATTAGGGCAGCATTGAAGACTTTCACATACTTTGCTTCTGTGTGCTTTGGTACAATCTTCTCCTTAATTCATCTACAAACTGAACTTGATTTTCACTCACAACATAAAATGCCATAACAGATCAATTGAGATCAACACAATTCATTATATTGATGAAGTATACCCTGTCACCAACTAAATTTTAAAAATTGAACAAAGTGCAGCAGTTAACTCTGCCAGTGATCATAAAAGGAATTATGATACAAACTTGTATCTCTAACAGTGTCTCCAAACTCTCTAAATGCAAAAATGATATGGTTGTCCAAATCATCGTCATCACGAGTTTAGCAACATGGGTTCAAAATTGCAGCATTGTTGCAGCGGCAAGATTGAAATTCGCATGAAATAATCTCAGCAACATTGCAATCTGTCATCCTTAACTGAGTTCACTTTAGTATAATGTTTAACTCTTCAGAATGATGATTTTAAGTGTGACAATACATGTGTTTCATAAGATGGTTTAAGCTTATCAAATGGTTGATGTATGCTCTAAATTAAGTTTGCAACTTTGCCAATATTGTGCAAGCACTTTTAGCAATGCTTTATATGCCGGGTTGATTCAGCTTGATAGATTTTCTGCTTTTTTTCTTGTCAGGTGGTGCCTTTTATCTATCTAATAATAGGTATATATAATTAGACTGTAGTTGCTTCTTGAAAACTTATATTATGAAATTGACTGGTCATTGCTGTATTGTCTCTCCTCTGGACTGAGTTCTAAGTTTATAATCACTTATTTTTTATATAACCTTCACCTGAATATCTGACTAGCTTTTGGTGGCTTGATCCTCAATCTGTCTTCCTTTGTAACTAATTTAAAAATGTTAAATCGTGTGTAAGTCTTTATATTTGAGTTTCAAATATATCCAGAAAGATAGTCTATTTCACAAAAATCATTAAAAATATAAGACAATACACTGACAGATATGACCTGGCTTTTATGATTAATTTATGAAGGATCCTTTTGGTCCTTGATGTGCAGTTGAGTTTGGCAGTAATACAAATTTGTGCTGCTACTGTTAACATTATGCTTGAAAGGCCTTTGTCCAAAATTTACCAAAGGCTGCTCTTGCTCACTTGAGTCCAACTGACAGATATTAAGTACCTTTTTGTTTTTCTCTTTTGGGTCATAAACTGATTGAAATTTGGACAAAGTAACTTCTTTTGGTTCTTTCATTGCTCTGGTTTGTACCTATTAATTCACAAGAACTTGCTTTTTAAGAATTGCCTCATCACCTACTAAATTGATTTTTAATCTTGTCCTATTTTGTTGTTTTTTTTTTTCACTCTTAACAGTATTGCAAATTTTCTTTGGAGTCACAATCAAAACTTCCAAGTATCTCAGTCACTTCATTTAACATGTAAAAATTTTTCATATTTTGGAAATGGTAGCTCACAATTAATACTTTTCCAGACATTGAGTAAAGCATAATCTAGTTCTGGGTATACCAAATCTTAACATGTCGCCAAAAGAAAGTTAGGATCTCCTGTCTACCACCTATTTCTTACCAAATCCTCCACTGCCTCTGATTTTGGTCTGTTTGTTTGATATTCAATTCTGGGTGAGCTATAATTTGCTCCAATTAAACATTCATCCGTGGTCATTAGACATAGCTACAACTCCAGTCCCTCCTCATCAAATTCAGCTTCCTCTAGTCCTACAAACCATCCAGAACTCCACATTTCTTTAGTTCTGGTCTCTTGTGCAACCCCATTCCCTTCCCCTTACTATTGAAAAACCATGCCTTCATCTGTTTTAAGTCGAAATCACACTCTTCATTTACCGAAGCTCCTTTGTTTCTCCATGTTTTCCCTTAAGTTCCTGCGTAAAATCTACTCCTTTGACCTAATCCCGTTTAGTTCAATATCATTTTTATTTGATTACACTGTCAGACTTCAATGTTTACAGCATAGAAGGAGGCCATTCGGCCCATTTTATCTGTACTGAACAACAAAGATCTGACTACACTAATCCATTTACAGCTTTTGACCTATAACCCTGGAGTCTATGGCAATACAATTGGACATCTAAATACTATTTAAATGTTACAAAAACCCCTTTTACCCTCAAATACCCTTTCTGGCAGTGAGTTCCAGACTCCCACAACCCTCTGGGTGATTTTAAAAAGTCAGCCTCTACCGCTTACCTTAAATATATGCCCCCGATTACTGACCCTTCTATTAGTGGAAAAAGTGTTTTCCCATCCAAGCTATCTGTGCTCTTCCTAATCTAATGCACCTCTATCAGGTCCCCTCTCAACTTCCACTGCTCCAAGGCAAACAATCGTGGCTCAGACATTACAGTCTGGGCAGCATTTTGATAAGTTTCCTCTGTACCCTGTCTTGTGCAATATTGCATCTTTCTTATAATGTGCTGACCAGACTGCATGCAAAACTTGACTTGTGGCCTAACCAGAACTTTACACAGTTCCAGCATAACCACCTTGCTCTTGTATTCTATACCTCAACTAATAAAGGCATGTATCCCATATTCCTTCTTAACCAGTTTACCTACCTACACTGCCACTGCCATCTTCAGGAATCTGGATATGTGCGGACACTCAGATTTTCGGTACTTTCCAGAGTCCTACCCTTCATCGTGAAATTCCTTGCCTTGTTGGCCCTCCCCAAGTACATTACCCCACACTTGCTGGGTTGAATTCTATTTACCATTGCTCTGCCCAGATGGCAAATCAGCTGATATCCCTGTTTGAGGCTTTATAATTTAACTTCAAAATTTACCACCCTACCAATTTTCATCTGCAAACTGTTTGATCATACATCTGCATCAAATCTTAATGTCTACCACAAAAAGCATGGGTCCCAGCATCACACCCTGTGGAACCTTGGAAGTCTGTTTTCAGCAGTCTTAGAAACATCCCTCTACCAGCGCCCTCTGCTTCTTGCCTGTCCACTAATTTTAGATCAAAAGTACTGCTTCACCTTACATCCCATGGACTCTTTCCTTTTTGACCAGTCTGCCATGAGAGGCCTTGTCAAAATCCTTGTTAAGATCCATGTAGACCACATTTCATATGTTTCCCTCATCAAATGGAGAGGCGATTACATTGTGGTGTTATCACTAGACTAGTAATCTGGAGACGCAGATAATCATCTGGGAATCTGGATTCAAATCCCACTGTAGCAGATGGTGGAATTGAATTCATTAAAAATCTGGAATTAAAAGTCTAATAGTGACCATAAAACCATTGTCGTATGTCAAGAGAAACCCATCTGGTTCACCAATGCCCTTTAGGGAAGGAAACTGCCATTTGTTCCTGGTTTGGCCTACGTGTGACTCCAGACCCAGAACAATGTGGTTGACTCTCAACTGCCCTTTTGGCAGTTAGGAATGGGCAGTGAATGCTGGCCTAGCCAATGACACCCTCATGCTATGAATGAGTTCAGAAAAAATACTTTTGGTTACCTTCTCAAAAAAATTTGATTAAACTTGTCCACCACAACCTTCCCTTAATAAATTTGTGCTGACTATCCCTGATTAGTCTGTCTCTCTCCAAGTA